AAAGAGACAGTCAAAGTTATACTGGCATGTTCAATATTAAGACAGTGCTTTTTGAAGTGTAAAACTGTTCAATTTAACCTTTTTTACTAGATGGTCTGGTGTTTCACATATCAATGCCAGTTTTCACAACAAGGCAAGGAATGAGGCAAAACATGATGTGTGTAAACATGCACCTACATCCTTGGCAGTGCTGTATTCAGGTCCTTTCCCTTCTCAATTTTTATTTTTTGCCACACCCCAACACAGTGGTCAGTGGTAAATGAGTATTGTGGCCATGTCATCACAATATATGTGCACCATCAGTGCACAATGAATAGAAAGAAGCTCTACAACATAAAAAGAGGTTTTCTTAGTGAGTATCTGCACTAAGCACACTGACGAACTTGTCGCAAGTGGAAAAACAACATCTAGCCAGTAAACATCTATAGAGCATAATGTCGGCACCCAAGGCGCATTGCTCAGAGGAACACAGTTGTCAATTGCACGGCATTAGACTGTCTTACAAACCTTTAGGCACACTTGCAATACAGAAGGCAGAAACATGTTTCTTGTAGCAAGACAAAACTGTAGGGTGGTCATGCGGGAGCTCCAGCAGTAATACACCACAGCCTCACCGAGAAAGGCAAGCAGTAAATATGGCAGCCGCAGCTACCATATTTACTCAAGTTTAATATGACATTTTGTCCACATTTTTGCTCCCTGAAATCCACTCTCGCGTTACAATTGACAGAGAAATTAAAGTGGCCTAGAAAGTACCATAATGCACCGAATTCTAGACGACCAGGGTTTCGGACATACTGCAACTTATTTTGGCAACATGTTCAAGCTGAGTGTCATTTTAATCCACTACAAGCCAGTAAAAGCCCTTTCACATGCCATAAATTTAGCGATTTTCAGTCTGCGAATTGGTTCTCAGCGAAAAAAAAGGGCAATTTGCACCTGCGGCAGCGTACCACGGCAAGCTATCAACATGTTGAAAATTTTTCACTGCGATCACAGAGGCAGAGCGATTTTCGGTCGAGACAGTAGGGCCAGGCCGACCAAGCCGTTGAAATTGTATCGTCGTGTTTCGTTTTGGTAATGGCCCCTGGTTCGCATTTTAAAATAGAGATAGATTGAAAAACGGTTTTTAAATGATGAAACACAAGTGCTCTCCGTTACTGTTCATGAAAACATAATATTATTATAATGCACATATTGTTACATTATATTCGAAACATTGTACAGTGTCTGCCACAAAGAACGATAGCAAGAACCGTTGCTCATCACTCCAGTCACAGAGCGAAAATCACAGACCGTTTGTAGTCCATGTGAAACGAAACCGCCATTAGCGGAAGTTGCGAACAGAGTGATTGAAGCTAACAGACCGATTTTTTTTTCACTGCAATCGCGGCATGTGAAACAGCCTTAGCAGTTCTTTTAGGGGCTAAGCTCCTTAGGGCGTGGGCTGCGCGTCCCTTGTAGCCTGTATGTAGCCACCTCTAGTTTAGTTCTTGCAGTGTTCACTAGATGGCGATACCGTCCCCTGTATGTAGCCACCCCTAGTTTAGTTCTTGCAGTGTTCACTAGATGGCGGTACCGTCTCCTGTATGTAGCCACCTCTCGTTTAGTTCTTGTAGTGTTTACTAGATGATGGTACTTGTAGCTGATGATGAAAAGATGCAAGATGTTATAAACTAGAAAGCGGTACTTGTAGTTGATGAAAGACGCGAGATCTTATAAAATAGGAATGATGTCACATATGGCGCGTGTCATTGGTTGAAGGCAATCGTTCGATTTAGTGCGGCGACGTACGCTAGGGGAGAGCGATGTAATAAAATCGAGTGGGCAAAATGTACAGAGGATTCATGGTTTACCAGGTTTACCTCCGGAGCTTTGCCCACTCATCATCATTCACTTCGTGGATATGGCAGAATTTTTTTGTTTCCATTCTAAGATGGTGTGCCCTTCGCTCTTTCGCTAGTATCATAGCGGGTGGCAGTCTCTTCAATTGGAGCAGCATGCTGCTGATTTCATCACAAAACAGTGCAACTGCCGTAAGGGGTGGAACAGAGTACAGGGGCTTGAAGCAGTCCTGGGAGCAGGCAAAAGTTCTTTTTATAGCAGGCTTGGAGCAGCCAGAAGGGTATTTTCAAAGGAGGGCAACACTTTTCGCACAGTCTCTTCACAATGAGAGTGCAGCACGTAGGAAATGTATGAGAGTTTAAATAAGTAAGAACACTCAGAGCAGACTTGGCCCCATTTAAAGCACTTGTGAAGCTGCATTTGTTCAATGCCGCCTTTTTCAAACACTCAGCTAAGTTGTACAATAGCCTCATTATTGTGATAGAAATTAATGGACACTTCTGACGGGTTCTTGCCGTTGCCGTCATGTCCTGTATAATTTTCAGATTTATAACATACCCCCATGCATCGTATGTTTTATCCGCGGGTAGAACTGCGCGAGCGGGGGATGACGGACATGGTTGGAGCAGAGATCGTACGATCCGGCCTACCTCCGCCGCTTGAAGGGCGCATGCGTTAACATCGGATACCCCCACCCCGGAGACCAGCAGTTGAAGTAGAAAGGAGGCGCTCCGCCACCTTGAAAGAGTATGAAAAATGTCACAGTTTCACCGTAAGGGAGAAGCAATGAATGTGATAGCAACAAAATGGAATGTCACGCGAAGAATGGCAAGCAGGTCGAACCGTGCAGTGCGCTGCTCCTGCACAAATGATACACAAAACGTATTGATAAATACGGATGATGCGCAAAATAACAAATGTCAGTTATTACTTCGCTGTGTCTGAAAAGCGTTCTTTTTGCAAACAGTCACTGTGCAGCAAGCGAAGTGACCTTTATGCATAAGTTGCATAACTACTACTCGGTTTCTAACTACAAGGCTATTGTCCTGGTAAAAGACCAAGGCATAGGATTCTACTCCACAGTGAGATAAGCGTGCGAACGCACAAGTGTCTACCCCTCACCCCGCTTCCTCCTGGTGGGGCAAAGTACACATGGGAAATTAGCGCGCGCCCCTGCGTCACGACAATCAGAATCCCGAGCATGCCCTTTTCGCCATCTTGCCAGTGACACTGAAAACATGCTATTTCCCTCAAGATCAGCACCACCAACATGCAGTGTAAATGCATGGGAGACCTCAGCATGCATGCACCCCTCATGTAAAACACCTTTATTTGGGCCTTTGAGGTATTGTAAATAAATAATTTATACGTGTTGCACTTTCATCGCAGCGAGACTGACAAAATAGTTGCCCTCCTTGAAGTGGCCACATTATCGAACGCCAGCGTTTTGCAGAGTTGCGCGAGATGGGATCGAAATGAGTTAGCTGCCAGCCTCACTTTGCGCACCACTTCAATTTGCTGCTATCGAATTCATTGCTTCACCTTTGCGTTGCAACAGTGACTTTTTCAGTTATGTACAGTCGCCGACGTTCCTTCTTTTTTTTTTTACCTGAATGCAGAAGTGTCAGTCGCTGGTTTGATAGTGGCGAAGTACAGTGGCAAAATGAACAAGAATATGCACATACACTCAATGAGCACTCATGTGCACTTGTTTTAAGGTGTTCCCAAAAACTGGCACTACCCTTCAAAGGAAAAAATTGTACAACTAAAGAATAAGACACCACAAACGAAGGAACACTTAAGCAGGTCGAGACACCACCCCCTTTTCTCGAGCACTGTTACTACCATCATATATTTCTCTTCCATATGCTGCCATAATGTTATAAAAAAAGAGTTTCACCAGAATAAAAAAGCAATAAATACGATAGCGAAAAACTCTAAGGATGGCAACCAACTCTTCTAGATCCGATATCGCGAAACTCTACAAAACGCAGGTGTAAGAGAATACAGTCGTGCCAGGAAGAGATGCTATTCTCTCAGTCACTTCGCTTTGAGAGAGAAGCACCCAGAAGCATCCACGAGCTACTTGCACTGATGTCTTCCGTGATCCTGCACGCATACCGATCACAACCACACCTTTAGGATCAAAGATCAAGGCAGCCCCTGAAGCTATCACAGCATTTACGAAACCGAAACTATAACCGTTTCGATGAAACCAAAAAGACCATGTTTAGCCACGTTTCCTGGCACGGTGCTTGGTGGCTTTCGAACTTTGTGGCTAAATTCTGTAGCTGCAGCGCAGTACAGCGCTAATATAATAGGCAAGTTTGGATGCAACAGTGGTGGTTTGATGCAGGATGGCGCAGGTAAGCAAGTTTGGTGCACAATGGTGCCGCTGTTCCACCCCTGTGCCTTATAGCTGTCACTGTTGAACCGATAAAGCTGAAAGCAAGCTAATGCACCTCATGAACGAAGTTGAATGCATCATCTGAGTTGGTGTGAAATATCTCGCTTTGAGACAGTCTTTAAAAATTACGGCTATATGATGTCTCCGCTTGCGTCCCATTACATTGATTGGCAGTCTTCCATTTTTTTCGTTGGTTAAACGAAGCGTTGCCCCCCCCCCCCCACACACACACATTGCTTACTGATATTATTCTTCCCGAACGCAATGAAAAAGCCACCCATGTTTGGTTACAATCATAGTCTCGTCAGAACAGTGTAAGTACGGTATGTTTACTCCTAAATTTTTTTTTTTTCAAGTAACCAGCTAACAAGACGGGAGTCTTCACACAAAAAACTTGATCTGAAACTATGTTTGCTGAAGACAGAAGAGAGACTGTTAGTCAGCAGGTGGCATATACACTTTCAATCTGCAGTTGTAAGGAAGCCAAGCGTTTGGCTCACAATCACTGAGGGTAACACATCTGCTTGTGCTCCAGAAGCAATTTTTTTTTTTTTGCACGGAGGTTACCACTTTGCAACAAAGTGGGGTTTGTGTTTAACAATATCTATAGTGACTACAGAAAAGGTCTGATCCCCCACTTACATTCTTGGTAAGCACGATCCAATAAATCATTTTTCTCATTAGTGCCCCATTAGTGCTATTGGTAAAGATGCGACGCACACAAAAAAAAATAAAAAGAGAATCTCACTTCATCTGTTTAACGATGGTGCTCTTTCCAGACTCCCCAGCACCTGCAAAGCAAAGAGACAAAACTGAGCAACCCCACCTGCTGTACAATACAAGTGGAGCAGCACCAAACACATAGTGCCAAATCTTGTCGAAGTTTGCAAGAACGGATACACTCGCGTCATGGAAATATTTACGCCCAAGATCGCACAGTTACTGATGAGCCAAACCTTGGAATAGTTTGTTGGCTTGAGTATGCCAGCCTTCACTTGAAATGTATACTGCTTTTTTTTTTCCAGTCTGGGTATGTTTAGCACTACTGCAACATAGTGGACTTTTCTGTAAACACCTAGCTTTCTAGTCTGACTGCAGTTGTCCTGTTTTTAAGCAACTAAGTAGTAGTTATGCAACTTAGAACATTTTATGCAGCAATTTTGCACACAAGTTGACCACTTCAGGAACACAAACAAAACCAAATTTTCCTACAAGCAGTCACTATTCTTGTGCACACATCCTGTTTACCCTGTCACTTCTTTCTAGCCAAATTTCAGCTATAGAACACTGGGAACAATGTATGGTTGGTGCTTTGGCTAGATGGCCATATTTAAGAAAACAAGAGGACAAACAGTGAACAGGTGTGGTTAATAGGTAGAAATGCCAGCTAGCTCTTGCGGCAGATAAACCTCTTGCAGCAGATAAACACTAAATTCTCAGACAAACATAACCAATCAATCATGCAGTTTCTGTGAAGTTTCTAGAGAGACTGAGATGTGTGGTGAAGTACAGCTTAATGCCTCACAGACTGAAATGCAGTGGCATCAAAAATGAGCGCAGACATACACTGAATCAAACATTTTTGGCCCTTCTATGACATTGCTGCCTTGTGCACTCCCTCACATACAAGGAAACCAAAAGGACCAAGCCACATTGGCAGAGGCACAGAGAGCTCAATAGTGGAACAGACACATGGCCTTAGTCAGATATCCCATCACGTGAACAACCAACGGACACGTGTCCTGTAGCCTAGCAGATTGACGAGAGTCATGACATAGTTCATTCCCTTCAGACAAACTCTAAAAGGCAGTTTCATAAGCTCCTAAACTACAAGTGCCGTCTTATAACCCTCTGTACAGATGCTCTGCATAGTCCTTGTAAGTGCAAATGCACTTACTTCTGCTTTATTCTTTTGATTAGGTAAGCATGCGCGTCGTGAATTATAACGAAAAAGGAAGGTAACACGAAAATATGACTTGACAGATAAAATATAGAGAACTTACGTACAACTTATGTGGCAGTACTACAACGATACATCGACTTACGCACATCGCACATGGCCACATCGACATCTGCATGCTGCTAATTTTATGTACTAAATAAAGCTACAACTTACATACATGGCAGTCTGAAAAATGCAGGGGCCATTAAAATGATTCCCTGATACGACATTACTAACAGAGACCTCTGTCGAGAACAAAACCACCCTCTGCTATACCAGCATTCGGTGAAAAGATGTCTGTCATCTCTAAAAACGAAATTCACTGAAGCACTCAGTATAGACTTGAAAAACATTAGCAAATTCTGGTTGTAACCTGTCATTACTATGGTCGTGTTTCTTAGGTTTTCACTTTCGTTTATTTTGCCCCATTCGCATGCTCTTCAACGCATGCAATCTAGATTAGCAGTTCCAACACTATATTTGAACGAACTATTTATGAAAAGCTGGCTCCCTCCTTTTTTCTTTTCCCTTTTGGCTCACATTCTAATAACACTTCAGTGATAAGTTTTGTTATAGATATTTCATTAACAATTGTACAGCTATTGTCAATGCATAACATCTCAAGACACTTTGGACACCCTAAACATGTCTAGATGCAAGGCAATTCATGTGAAGCACTTTCATCAAAAGGCTGCACAAATTATGGTCTTCTTAATTAGTATTGAAAGTATGCCTACAACATGACAAACAAGTTGTTAGAGCCTTTTTCACAAAAGTCAAACACGCAACAGAAGGAAAGGATCACATCCAATTATTTGTTGCAGCTCTCACTGATGAAACTGGCTATCGCATTATTGTTATACATATCAATAATGCACACAATTTTAATGCACAAAACTCGTCCCAGCCCTCCTATTGTTCCCATTGATAGATTGATATGGGTGGTTCAACGTCTCAAAACCACCATAGGATTATGAGAGATGCCGTAATGGAAGGCTGCGGATATTTCAACCACCTGGGGTTCTTTAACATGAGCCAAACCTGAGTACACGGGCCCACAGCATTTTCGGCCCCATCGATGATGGAGCTGCTGCAGCTGGGATTCGATCATAACTGTTCCCATGGCCGCATTTCATAATGAAGCGGTAAATGAACATTTTGGAGTAGTTACCAATCACAAATTTCTGATTGCAAATAATGAAGCCAAGAGCAGTTATGCCACGTTCAAAAAAATCAATATATGTGTACAAGAATGCATGTTAGGAGAGCTTATCACTGTTCCTCATCCATCTGTGGGTAGCATTTAACATTATTTAGTTTTGTGACCTCGGGCCACTTAATGCTCCCCTGTATTCTTGTGTTCTGTCCATTTCTACACTTAAATCTATACCATAATAAACCAATGTATCGAAAAAAGCATTTTATTCCACTTCCTTTCTATAATTCAATGACATTCCCTAATGCTTTAATTTTAGTACTAGAAGCACAAGCAGAGTTTATTTTCATCTGTTCTTTTCACTAGTGAAAAGAATTCTGGTGACATTTGTGCTTTGAGTACAAGGTAGGCACCTGGAGCCTACCTTGTACTCAAAACCTCGAGTGTTCACAGTTTTCTTTCTCACTGAAAGACAGCAGAAATGCTCAGTGCAAATCATGTAGCTTTTGAGGAAACGTAGCAAATTTCAGCTCTTGCACAGTATGGTGCAGCTATTCCATCACTGGCACTGTGTGATCAAGAGAACAGTGTAGTTTTAGTTAAGCGTGCTTTCTTGGAGTTTGTGTGCCTGCAAGGTCAGACAGTCAAGTTCGGAAGCATCTCAAGTACTCTGCCCACACAGTCCTGCGAATGAAGTGCAGCGTGTGTGATGATTGCAGCAGGCACGACACACCTCAGAAGGGTTCTCCGCTACAAGACAAAAGTTCAGAAGGGTTTATTCGTAGCTGTCGTGGCTTTTTATGTAATACAGTATACCACAACCCTGGGGTGTACATACATTCGAACATTTTGGCCAGATTACTCTATGCAGACCAGCTTGCTCACGATGAGAGAGATAGCAGAGTTGGCTGCTAAATCGGCAATACAGAGCATTACGCAGGAGCACCCTAGGCAAGTGTTTACAGAAAAATTGAGATTTTCTTCAAATGCCACATAAGTTGACGGGCGCCTGTACAAATTTAAAGACCAGCACTTCAAAAAATAACAGCTACCCCAACGTAAGACACAAAACAGGAGTCGCCACAGAATTTATACCTATTCAAGTTGGACAACAAATTCTCATATCAAATTTAAGTTATGAAGTTCGAGCGAACCCCCACAAAGAGCTCTAACTTGAAAGAACCCCGAAATCACTGAAAAATTACTGCAAATGCATTTAGCCAGTGAACCCTTCAGATCCCTCGACAATTTGAGGAGCTTGTAATATAGGTGTAATTTGAGGTGCACAAGCTCTTCAGCTTTAGCAGACTGTCCCAATATACTTCACAAGTCGGGGGTTTGACTACCCTGAACACTTTGAAGGTAAAGCCTTCAGAACTTTGCATTTATGATGAGAATCCCATACCCTGCACACGTGATTAGCTTAGCAAGGTTCAAATGTCCAAATACTCTACATGCATATTAGCAGAGCAGTTTGAGCCCTGCCACACTGAGTCATACACTAAGTCATGGGTTTGAATCCTTTTCCCTATAAAATGATGTGTTTACCATGCATTATCTACAGAGCCACATGCATTCCTACGCAAACAGCATCAAGTTACAAAAGGTCAGCCAGATCTTCTGGGGAAGTATTTTCAGAATGCAAGAACATCAAAGAATCATTTCGCGGTCCCTTTGATGCGCTTCAAGCGTGAGAGCACTCCTAGAAATGTGCCTTCAGTGAAACTAAATGATGACTCGAAAAGAATGTCTTAGTTTATATTAAAATGCGAGACCATTCAATGCTAGCTAGTTGCAGAACGAAAGATAGTGACTTCACGCAATCAACAGTACGCCTTTCAGTTCTTGAAATTGCTGCAAAACACGTTTCAGGCAACTCTGTATGTTCAGTCTATCTTTCCGGAAGTTACCCACCGCTAAGCTCGCTATGTCGCGTGAGTTAAAAACTGAGCTGGCAAAGTTTGCATGTAAAGGTTTCGGGGCCTTCTTTCTTGAGCAGAGAGACAGTGACACTGTTCGCTGCACATGATCGAAGTGTTGGCAGGGGGTCGAACGGCTCATCGTGCACTCGCAACCCCTGGCTACTTAAGCATGAACGGGTCCTTGGGAACGGCGAGGGAGAATGAACACGTCTGCTAAGGCTTCATCAACCGAATCGCGCAGAGGTGTTCAGCAATCGACACGCCGAGCTTCGCGCACGGGTCTTTTGAAATCGGCGGCGCGTCGAGGTGGCCGATGGATACCGCGACGGGACCGGCAAACGAATGCGTTAAGCCACCGGCACGGACGCCACCGAGACATTTATTGAAAGCACCGCACTCAAACATCCTGTGCCCGAAGCGAGCACACATCCGTTTTACGAACCGATGTCCGTGGAGCCGATGTGTCCCGACATCCCCGCCCATCGCGCGCGACAGGAAGTCGACAGAAAGTGCCCGTTTACATCACCGAAACGGCCTTGCCTATCAGTTTGGCGTTTATCGCTAACGTTAAACGATAAATTCGCTCGAAACTCCCGCCCGCAACCGGCCGGTCACTGCGGTGGGAGTGGTTGATTAGGGCTAAGCGCGAGATAGAGCTTCTGGTGGCGCATTGGACAGTTGAGTCAGAAAGTGAAGCGCTACCGACAAGAGACGCGCAGAGCGCGGAGAGTCGGCGCGAGCGCCGCTTCACTTACCCAGCAGTAGAAGCTTGACTTCCCTCGCTTGCCTTTCGCCATCGGCTCGAAGATCTCTGTCGATCTTTTTGGAACGCTCGGCAGCCTCCTTGTCGGCGGCGGTACTCACAGCACAACCCATGTCGACTGCCCGGCAGCTGCGGCTAGGCCTAACCGACGGTTTCACACCACTCCCACGGTCGTTTCCCTTTCTGGTATAACTTCGGCGCTTGAGGTGAATACGCAGTCGATTATCGCACGTCTGGAGACATCACAGCCAGCGCATTTAACTGTGCCGAGAAAGAGGCACGAGATGCGCAAACGGGCATCAAACTTCGGCGAATGAAGTTTTCAAACCTGTTGCCGGATGTCGAGGCGCGCACCGGAAGTACGCGCGTTTTTTTGATCTGTGCGCTGGATCGTCGATGAAAAGCTCCGGAGTGTGTTTTTTTTTTTTTTTATCGCGTTTTAGTTCTTATCACCTCAGTAAGACTGGTAAGACTGAGTGTTGTTTTTATATTACGTGCTCTCCAGAGTAACAATCGAGGAGACACCGAAATCGAAACCAACGACAACCGGTGGAGCTTGCGGGAGCGTTGGTGTGAGCGAGAGAAAATATGGGCACCATTAGGTGGTGGTGAAAGTTCAGTTTCACACCGAGCTAAAGTCACTTTAACCGAGCGTTCCGACCGCCGAAAGCGCACCGAATCTCATTCAGCGGCAGTGAGACCCGATCGCTCTTGTAACAATTTTTTTTTTTTTTTTTTGCGGCGTCTGTCGCCGGATTGGCTTGCCGCGAACGGGAACAGAAGCTCAAGTTTGCGGAGCGACGACAACGTCGCGCCTGGCTCTGGCGGCGAGCTCCGGGGAATTTGAGGATAGGCGTGTCAGAGGGAGCAGGTGATTCAGTATGTTTAGAGTTACTGTATATTGTCACGTTATAATGAACAGCAACACGTAACTAGAGGTCGGCTGAACGTCAAGCTGGTCCGCTCACTGGCAAAACGAAGGCATCACCCCCTTTCGCGCGCTCTTCTTCGTCGTCTTTTTTGCACATAACGTCATTTTCGGCTGGAAAAGTGAGCAAACGCCATGTTTGTCAACATTTAGTCAGGCTGCGCGTGTAGAGCAACCGCCATGTTTGTCAACATTTAGTCAGGCTGCGCGTGTAGCTTACCGCCGGTTGGGAGGTTGAGAGCTTGTCGGCGTCATTTATGCGATATGGCAAAATTAAACGTGCGAGCGCTTTGTCCGTCGTACTTCGAAGAGCTTGCGGGACCGACTTAAGTGTTACCCAGCGAAAATTGGAATGTGCGATGGCATATCGACCCGTACGAGCTGTGCATCGGTAAGGATGCTACACCGATCTGCTGCCTTCCGTGACACACGGTGACATCGTAACTAGCGCTGCTTTCGACAAGTCACGTCCCGCTAATGGAGGTCTGCAAGTCGCTGGACGGCCACAACTACTTTACCATGCAGTGGTTGGGTGAAGAGCATAGCAGCAAAGCAGCTTCCATCACAGACAGCAGCTTGGGCTTGTCGGTGATTGGGAATCAACATATTTGCACAGCGCAAGACTACGAGTAGTTACGACGTAACTACAGAAGAGACAAGGACAGGAACGGCGCTTTTTCTGTCCTTGTCTCTTCTTCTGTAGTTACGCCATAACTACTCATAGTCTTGCGCTGTGCGAATATATGTTGATTCCATCACAGCATGTCTTCGTTGTAGTCGAGGATAGTTACGACGCTTTTTCCCGGTTGAAGTAAAACATGGGCCTCTACGGTATTTTGTAGCGAGGAGTGCGAACCCGTGTTGCATCGTAATGGGGGAAATTTGGTTGTTTGAGAGGTGCTAATGCCCCTTTTGCACGCTCCTGTCAGCGCCCGTGTTCACACGTCACCACAGTTGTGCTCGTTTCAGTAATGTTGCAATGCTTCGTTTACTTTCCTCTCGTGAGCTACGGTTTCGTGGGATTCATCACGCTCTGGCTCTGCGTCTACGGCAGGCAGATGGAGCGATGTTCCCGATTCCGTGGAAGTTCGTGCCCGCTGCGACTGCACGCAGCGTGTTCGTTTGTCGCTTTTTATAGCGGTGAAATTGAACTAATGCTGCGGCAGTAGTCGGGTCATAACGGCCGTAGTCCAGCAACTACTATCAGTTGCTGGTCTTCGTTGCTGAGCAACTACTACTAGTTCCTCGGTGCTCAGTTGCGGTTTGCGTACGTCGTACATTGAAGTAGCGGGTTAAAAGAAGACACGTTCACATATGTTGCACTGCTAACCTCCATTAACAACACGAGACGCGGCTCTTCAGGTGGAAAAGGTCGGCTGTACAGCGCTGTGAATCTAGGTGGCATTCCGGAGAAAGCAACGCGATCACGTACGTAAACGCAACAAGCGTGGACATAACTTCAAAATACCCCTACCTCAGATGAAGTGATGACAGCAGTAATGGATTGGGATTTAACGTCCCAAAACCACCATATCATAATGAGAGATGCCGTAGTTGAGGGCTCCGGAAATTTCGACCATCTGGGGTTCTTTAACGTGCGCCTAAACCTAAGCACACGGGTCCAAGTATTTCCGCCTCCTCCGAAAATGCAGCCGCCGTGGGCCGGATTTGATTCCGTGACCTTCGGGTCAGCAGCTGAGTGTCTTAGTCACCAGACCACCGTGGCGGGTACTATTCTGCATCCAAAAACGGCCCAAATAGTCATGGTGAAGCTGGTAGCGTGACCGGAGACCAGATTTCGCCGCTTCAAGGCTCCCGACTACGCTTCTCTGCTTATGTTGACAAACATGGCGGTTCTCGGTCTTGTCATTACTGGATGTGACGTACGTGCAACCCATGTATAGCGGCACATACAATTCCGCCAGAAATGATACCGCGTAATACGGGCTTGTTCCATTTCAGTTTTTGTGGTGTCGATCAACGTACATGGTAATCATATCGGGGATCGTCTTGCTTAGCATCTCTCTAAGGCCGTTGCTTTGTGAATAGTACGCAATTGTTTTCCTATGTGCGGTTACACTTAGCTGCAGGACATCATAATCTGAGTGGTAATAGATGTTCCGCGATCAGTTATTATGACTGCTGGCGCTCTGTGTCGAAGAACAATCGATGTTAACCATGAAGAAGTCGGTAATCCCATTGGCGGTGCTTCGTGGCAATGCTTTGGTTTCACAGTATCGTGTCATATAATCATTGGCGACGACAATCCAGCGCAGTTGCCATCGTGAGACTTGGGGAAAGGTCCGATCAGGATTCATACCAATCTGTTGGAATGATTGTGGTCGCGGGAAAATAGGCCATAGAGACCAGCTGGGCGCTGAGCCGGTGCTTTACGGCGCCGGCATTCACGGCACGTTCTAACATAACGCTTCACGTCCTGTGCGAGTCTTCGCCAGTAGTAGTGCTGGCGAATACGAGCCAGGGTGCGTGTGAATCATAAGTGGCTGGACGAAGGCTCATCATGACAGGTCAATAAAATATCTGCACGTAGCGTGGATGGAACGACGATCAGGTGTTCAGTCACGTATTGGTTGAAGTTCTTATAAAGAACATTGCTGCGCAGACAAAAGGATGACGGTGAACGTGCGAACGCTCGTGGAGGGCGCGAGTCACACCCTTTAAGATATTCGATGAATTGTCGAAGCTCGGCGGCAGCCCTCTGTTGTTGCACCAAGTCAGATGCACTGATAGCGCTAAGGAAGCTACCATCAATGTCTTCGTCAGTTTCCGTCGTTTCAAGTGGAGCGCGCGCGAAAAACAATTTTGCACCCGTGTGCTTTCGACCAGACTTGTAAACGATTGTTACCTCAAATTCTTGAAGGTGCAAACGACACCTGACCAGACGTCCTGAAGGGTCCCTGAGATTCGCAAGCCAGAAGAAAGCGCGGTGATCCGTAACAACTTTGAACGAGCGGCCGTAGAGATATGGTCGGAACTTTGCTATCACCCCTGCAACAGCCAGACATTCTTTCTCCGTGGTCGAGTTATTCGCCACCACAGAAGATAATATCCGGCTAGCATAAGCAAATAACACGTTCGACGCCCTCTTGCTATTGAACGATGACTGCGTCAGTGTGCGATTCAGTATGAGGCGTTTTCATCAAAATGTCCGAATAAGGGCTGAGTTTGCAGGCCCTGCTGAAGGTCAGAGAAAGCGGCTTTTTGCTTGGGGCCCTACCCAAAGGAAACGTTATCGTTCGTTAAACTGGTCACTGGCTCGGTTATGTTGGATAAATTTTGCACAAAACGCCTGTAGCATGCGCAGAAGCTCAGAAGTCGATGCACATCACGTTTGTTGGCAGGTGGCGGAAATGCAGCAACAGCCAATGTCTCTTCTGCATCCAGCCGAGTACCATCATTGCTGACAAGGTGGCCGAGGAACTTTATAATTAGTTCATCGTAACGAATAACGTGTTACTTTTCTAGTTTTAATGATAGGCCTGCCGGCACGAAATCGCATGAAAGACGAACTGAAGTCGCTCCAAATGCGGTTCGAAGGTTCGTGAACATACAACGACGTCGTCCAAATAAGCAATGCATGATTCCCACTTAGGACCTGACAGCACTGTATCCATCATCCTTTGGAACGTCGCAGGAATAGAACACAGACCAAATGGCAGCACTTTGAATTCGTACAGGCTGTCAGGGGTTATGAATGCGGTTTTTTTCGCGGTCACGCTCATCGACTTCGATCTGCCAATAGGCACTACGTAAATCCATCGAGGAGAAATAGTGGGCATGTCGAAGGTGGTCTAGTGAGTAGTCAATACGTCGAAGAGGGTAGACGTCCTTCGTAGCCACTTTCGTTAAGTTTCCGGTAATCCACGCAGAATCTTAGAGTGCCGTCCTTCTTTTTTGCGGGCACGACGGGAGATGCTTATGGAATGGTTGAGGGCGTATTACATCAGTCGTCAAGCATTCACTTGTGAGCGTGCCACCTCTTGATTCTATTCCGATACTCGGTAGACGTGATGACGGACTGGCCGTTCAGTTGGGTTTGGTATAATGTGGTGCTTCACGGTCGGCGTTTGCTATACTTTTGATGTGGGTGTGAAGCAGTCAGTGAACTTCTGTAACATACTGAATATCCGCTCCTTCTGCGCACACGAAAGCTTCGAATTGAGGTCAACAGTATTGGTCATTGTGGGGTCAACTTTGGCGGCTGCCGAAATCGGAGCAATCATTGAACATGCGTCACTACCGATGGCCTCTAAGTGAGCGATCGTCGTTAGCTTTGTCAAATGCTGGTATTCGCCACTGAAATTTGTAACCATGAGCTCAGTCATCCTGTGTATAATTCCACGGATAATTCCACGGGCGAAGCAGATTTTCCGAGCTAACAGCACCAACAAGTT